TCCACCCTTCCATGCATGATGTCCTCCCAAGGACTGATATCTACTAGCCCAAAGCATGTGAGATGGAGCGTCAAGATCCTAGCCTCCAAGGAGAAACTTGGTCTCACCTTCTCCAAGACAGACTTGTTTGTTTTCTTGCCGGTCCATGGTATCTTCAAGACTCTTCTTCAGCAACAAAACTCAGAGGCATCAATTCTTCTGTCATCCTTAGTCATTGCCCAGTTCTCTGATGCACAGCAAGTAACTGCAAAGACCATGGCCTGAATCAGGCACATCTTAGTCTCTATACTGACATTGTTACTCTAGCAACCAGGAGAGGCCCCTGACAGCAGATTTTCCTAAGGCAGTTTGTCTTTTGATTTCCAGATTGCTGGTGCCAACAGTGTTGACTGTGGAGCAAAACAAGCTTAACTGATAATAGCATCAGTCTTTTCTCCATCTATCATGGTTCTGCCAATTGGCCCAGTGGTGAGAATCTTTGTTGGGTTGTTTTGTTTTGTTTTTCTATGTTGAGCTTCAATCCATATTGAAGACCACGGTCCTTGACCTTCTACAGCAGTATGCTTCAGGTCCTTCTCAGTTTCAGCAAGCAAGGTTGCATCATCTGCATAACGCAGGCTGTTGATAAGTCTTCCTCCAATCCTGATGCCACATTCCTCCTTCTAGAGCCCAGCCTCCAAATGATCTGTTTTGCATGTAGATTGACAAGATATGAAGACAAGATGCATCCCTGACGTAGTCCTTTTCCAATTTTGAAACATGCAGTGTTTCCTTGCTCCGTCCTGATGTCTGCTTTCTGGTCCAAGTATAGGTTTCGCATTAGCACGATCAAGTGTTCTGGGATTCCCATTCTTCTCAGAGTCAGCCACAGTTTGTTGTGATCCAGTCAAATGCCTTTGCATAGTCAATGAAGCACAGATAGACAATTCCTCTGGTGCTCTCTGCTCTCTGCCAAGATCCATCTGACAATATACTGTTACTTTTTATAGTTTCTGATTCCTCGCCAGTATGTCCACGTTTTGCTGCAGTCTCCTTCCACACCCGAGCATGGTCTGTCTCTCATGTTTTCATTATCTCCAGCTCTGAGGGTCTATTTCTTGTACTGGAAGTTTCTCCTCATTTTCCTTCCTGATAACTCGTGTTGTGTGTCTGGTTATCATTGTGTACTGTTGTTGTTGTTATGTGCCATTGAGTCATCTGCAACTCATAGTGACCCTATGTACAAGAGCCCTAAACGCCATTCTATCCTGTGCCAACCTCACCATCTCAGACACACTCATTCCCACCATTACAGTCACAGAATTGATTCATCTCATTGAGGGTCTTCCTCTCCTGCGCCGTCCCTCCACTCTCCCAAACATGATGTCCCTCTCCAAGGACCTGTCTCTCCTTGCAACATGCCCAAAGTATGTCAGACAAAGCTTCAGAATCCTTGAT